CCCCGCTCTCAGTTCAGGCTCGTGCCCGGCATCGCTTCGTCCCAGGGGCAGAATCGGGCACTTGGGCTGGTTCAGTTTCACACCACCGATGATTGCCCAATGCTCCAATCTATCCAGATCCCTCTGCAAGGCCTCCTCTCCCTCGGGAGAGTCAACAGCACTCCCAGTTTAGTATCCCATGAACAGATGTTTATAATGCAAACTTTTTAAGCTGATACTGTACAACAGTAAACGTATTACCTCAGCGGACTTGTTTCTCTGCTCACAATTCCGATGTGTACAGGTCCTGTTGCTGTGTTAGTCCTTGTTATCATGCACTGTATTAGGAGCTCAATTTAGCTGATTGTTAGCATGACCTGCGAGTTCGTTGTGGTACCCACCTCCTACAGCAGAGTTTCTTTATAAACACAAGCCTTAGGTTTTTTGCATTTCAGTATGACCAGCTGGATGCTTTTAGCCTGTTCCTAGTCTACCAGAGTTAAAAGCACTGTTCATTGGAAAATGGGGTTCCTTCTCTTAGTTTTATTAGTTGGTATTGTGTTATGAGTAGTTATTTCCTATAGTATAGTGTTTAATTTGTTTAAGTTTTGTGGGTGGCACAACATTTGCATCAGTTCTCATTAGCATAACACTGTAGCTGAAATTGAGTAAATTTGGTCTTGTTAAAAGTGGCTGCCAAGGGAGAAGGGATTTTTGAGGAAGCCCTTGTATATGGTGAGAAGATTCCAGCAAATGGGATGCTGATGGGGTCCCTAGTTGAGGGAAGAGAAGGCAAGACAATATGAGTAGGAAAAGCTGTGAAACGGCCAGGACTCCAAGGTAATATAAGTGGAAGATGAGTCTGAGTTTGCTAGCCAAATCTCTGTATTAACTTTTACCTCAACGGGCAATTGGATCAGCTGAAGGTGAAGTGATTCTGGGTACGTGGCCAGTTGATGGTGAATAGCAATGGTTGATCATTGACAATGAAAAGCTCAATTCTACCCTCTGTCTTCTCTCCTGTAAGTACTTTGAGATAGGCATCTGGTTTTATCACTGCACGTTGCCTGGTGCAGTAGGACTTTAACCGTGACTGTAACTTCTGCATGCCTGTGAAATAGCATATAAAAGGCATTACAGAACAGCAAGATGCTCTAGGTGTTGGAGGAAGGAACCCATATACATCTTTGGATGCTGCTACATATCTGAGGAAAAACAATATTATGGTAAACTTTGCTGCTGGGAGTGGTGTTCATCTTATATCTATGCAGGTCTTCTAGCATTAAGTGCTTCCACAGCCCTAGCTATTCTCGTGCTAGGCTTTAAACTCTTGCTTTGTCAGGTCCCCTCCCCTTACCTTGTTGCTTTCTTAGTGCTCATCTATGTCTTTAATATTAGGTGTGGATGTACTTCTGCTGTGTTAACTTTTGCACTTATTAACTGAAGAAATTATTGTAGCAGCTTCAATTGTGTAATCCATTCCTAAGTCTGTTCCCAACTTGCGGCTTTCCTTTTGTTTCTCTCTGCTTGGATCAGTTTCCTCTCTTGAGTTTTGTGTCTCATCACCTTTAAGAAAATTCCTTCAGAAAGTTGTGTCTGAGTTCTTGAGACTTTTTTTTATATCCCTTTTGTAAGGTTGGAAGTTTTTTTTGGTGGTTAAATGAACTATAGGTATCATAAAACATAAAAATCTAATGTATTGTTGCCAAAAGACAGCTTTTACTATGAAACAGCCTTTGTGCAAAAGAAGTTTTCCCTCAAATATGCCCAGGGCTTACTGCTTATGTGGCCTACAATGTACTCATGTGTACTCACGTTTGGGTATATCTCATTCCTGAAATATATGTGCACAATCCTGTCCTGGAATGCCCATTTAATTAAAAGTTAATGAGCCAAGTTTCAAACACTCAAATGAAGGACGCATGGTAATGATCTGGTCTTACTAGCTTAGAACTCACATCTGTCTCCATCCTTCCCATACAGGTGAATCAGCGCAATGTCCCAGGGATCGATAGTGCCTACCTGGCCATGGACACAGAGGAAGGTGTGGAAGTCGTTTGGAATGAAGTTCAGTTTTCTGAGCGGAAGAACTTTAAGCTTCAGGAAGTAAGTTGATGCGTTTCCCAACAAGATGCAGGAAACATACCATGCACCAGGGTGGGATTATAGATATTGGTGACCTTTCATGTGGATTATTGGCTGGATTTGGAGTGCTGTGCTGCTCAAATGTAGCAATTTCAGCTTAAGCCTGGCCTGTGCAGAAACTGTGACGGAGAACTGTTGTGCTATTTCAGTGGGCTCTTGTGTTGATGTAGTCTTGGTGATCAAACCGTGCTCAGCTGAGGTGCCGTGTAGGATGAAATCAGATGCTGTTTGTCTTTACCACAGGAGCTTGAAGCTTACAGTGTTGTTTAAGGGGACCAAGACCCAAGAAGAAAGTAAGATGTGGGCTGATGTGGTCTCTGATGTAACATGCCTTTGTCTTTCTGATGTTAAGGAAAAAGTTAAAGCGGTGTTTGACAACTTAATTCAGCTGGAACATCTGAACATTGTGAAGTTTCACAAATACTGGGCTGATGTGAAGGAGAATAAGGCCAGGGTAAGTAAAGTGAACAGTCTGTTGGGTTTTCTCACTGGATGTCCTGTAGGTAATTAGTGAAGCAGAGGGTAATGTTTCATGCTGCCCCTACAGGTGATCTTCATCACTGAATATATGTCTTCAGGGAGCTTGAAACAGTTCCTGAAGAAGACAAAGAAAAACCACAAAACTATGAATGAAAAGGTAACTCTTTTTTTCATGTATGCCTGTTTTCACTTAGTGCTGTCAGCCTCTGGAAAGCTCTTTCAGCAGAGGATCCTGATGAGAAGGCAACCTGGTGATAACATGTGGCTGCAATTCCTTTTTATTACTGTGAACTAGTTGAGTGGCAGGTCCTCTTGGACAGCTGTTCTGTGCTGTTTGCTTTGTTTCCAGCAGTTCCACAGCTTCATATGCATGTGGTGACAGGCATGTGCCTTTCCATGTGTGCATGCAGGAAAGAAGGAAGATGTCTGTGCATGAGAGGAGTTAGGAGGGGAGGTGTGTTTCTTGACCCATATGAATGTGTAGAAATTAAACTGAGCATTAGAATATTGATCCTCTAAGTTCTTACTTCCTACACACCTGTACTGGGTAAAAGCCACAGAATGGAGCATATATTCCTTTATTTGAATGGGCTATGAATCACAGAACTACGGATTAGTTCCTCTTCCTTGAATGACTTTTATCCTTTTTGCTCCTGTGTCTGTAGGCCTGGAAGCGATGGTGTACCCAGATCCTCTCTGCTCTCAGGTATGCGAGTTGCTGATCTTGCGGTCTAGCCATCTGTTTAAGTGTAGCCTCTCCCGTGCTAGAATATGAAAAGCTGTAAACACACGTGCTGCCAAACGTTAGCAAACTTCATGGAATGGAGGCCGCAGAGCACTTTCGGTTACCCAGCCTGATTCTTATCCCAGTCACGGTCTGCAGAGTGTCAGCTGCACTTCCTATAACAATTCCAGAGTCTTCAGTTAGACGATACTGAAGCCTCTAAAATGGAGAAACAGGTGCAGCGTAGGTTTTAGATCCCAACAGTTGCAACTGATATGATACTGAGTGTGGGAGTTGAGCATTGGGGAGCTCTCCAGAGTATCCCAATGCTGTAACCTGGATCTAACCATGGCCAAGAGGATGTTGCAAAAAAGTCTCGAAGAGGAGTGAGGAAAATTTTCTTAGTCTTGGCAGGCTGCGGCCCTGTAGCATGCAGTGGATTCATAATTATTGTGGTGTGATATCGTTAGAAGTGTATGTGGATCTATACATTTCTTGATGATGCATATCTCCTGCAACCATCTTAGTGTAACACAGTTGAATAGAATGTGGGTTTTTTTGTTTTGGTTTTAAAGACTTTTCTCTGCCTGAGCCAGAGTTGGTGTGTAGCTAATAACAGCCTTGGAAAAACAATAACCCAGATATCAGAGGAAGACTCCCACTCCATAGAGAAAATTCTGTTGCCATTTGGCTAAATGTAGCCGTTGGTGAATGGCTGGAGTTCTAATAAGCTTTTGCGAGCTGACAGTCCTTATTTGTGCTGGCTGCTAACATAAAAACAAGCAGAGTGAGGCGTAGAAACAGGTAGCCTCCAAATGTACCTGGGACCCCGGCACTGAAAAGCTTTACTTGTGCCTGCTGGAAAACATGACCAATCATGTTTGTACAGCACTGAGTGCCTTTTTGATGCTCTGTGAGTAAGGCCAGAATAAGGCTCTGATATTTTTGGTATAAAATTGGAACCCTTTCAGCACCCACCTAGCAGTATTGGGATGGATGAAATAGTTTCTTTACCCCTCATACCCTGGGTTTCTTGGGAACTGATCGGAGAAAGCTTTCTTTTTTCCCCAGTATTCTGGAGGTTGTTAGTTAGAGACAATTGCTTAATTTTCATGATTCTCTCCTAGCCTAGAGGCTGATGTACAGTCAATTTTACCTCCCTGCTATTGTAAATCCCTGGCACGTGCCCTTTGCCCTCCTGTTCTTTTCTGATGTTGCTTGAGACAGGGAAGGGATGAAGGCAGGGATTCCTGGCCTCAGCCTCGGTAGTCTCCTCACCAGTGCTCTGTTCTGAATCTCTAGCTACCTCCACTCCTGTGATCCCCCAATCATCCACGGTAACCTGACCTGCGACACCATCTTCATTCAGCACAACGGACTGATCAAAATTGGGTCAGGTAAGGCTTGTTGGAGGTGATCCTTGCCTATGAGACAAACTGTTCAAATGGAAAAAGGCGTCTAATCCTTTCAAGGTTATCTGCCATGATAGGCATGTATGTACACATGTTCCTCCACCTCCACATCAGTTGGGCCAGAGACTGGTAGTGAATCCCCTCTTGGTTGGACCACCTTCAGGTGTAGGAAGAACTGATACTGGGTACTGTTGCCCTTGTTAGCCCCTTCTTCAGTTTTTGATCTCAAGGGACTGACCCGAGAAATGGTGCTGAAACTTTCAAGTTTTGTATGCACATTATCCTTGGATTCATCTGCTCTGCAGTCTTTTGCATGTTAATACACACAGACTTCTCAGTGTTGTGAAGCTTTGAGAGTTGTGTCCACTGAGGCCACGTGAGTGCTTCTTGTAGCAACCAACATTTATAATCAAGGTTACAGACTCTGGCTGCAGCAAGCTGCTTGTCTTGGCATCCTCATCCAGCATCGCTCATTTTGGCCTGCACTTCAGGATGCTAGCTTGCCTTGGGCCTTTTAGACAAAGACGTGCCCTGTTCAGGCAGCCACCTGTACTGAAATATTTTATTTCGTAAGTAAGAAGTGATTTTTCCGGCAGTGCAGTGCATCCTTGCATACTGTTTTTTCCCCTTTGCTATTCCTATGTCTCTCAAAATCTGTCTGCAGTCAGGATGCATTATACTGTACCTGACATACCCTTTCAAGTGACAGCTTTGCTATTTATTGTCCAGCCTTTATAAGTATTCTCAAACCTGAGTAGTGCGCACTTGCTGTCCTGTAGGCTTTTGTCTGTGTGAATTCTTGGTTTGATGTTGACAGTGTACAGGAGAGAATGCTCTGCTTTGCCTGTCTCTAAAAATAACCTCTCTTCATAAACTGCAGACCCCTGTGGCTTTTCTTTCCATCAAAGAACTGGTTTATTGTCTCTTTGTTCCAGGACTGGGGGGTCTGTTCTCTATAACAAACCCTGAAACATGCTTGTACCCAGGGAGACTGAGTCATGGCAAAAGGAACACTCAGTTCTCTCTCTGCCTGTAAACTTGGTGATGTGTTGCTCTTCATACAGGGTGATGACATCATGGGGTTCACTTTATTATCTTTCCCTGACTTTGTCCAGGTGGGAGGAATTTCCAAGAGTTGTGTACATCGGATATCTGTATGCTGGCAAACACAACTGGCTCCCTGGCATTCAATTCAGGCCACTTATGGGAAGTCTGTTGTAGACTCAAGTACATAAGAGATCCTTCTCTTTCTAGTTTAGTTTAAAAGTATTATACAGCTGCAATCCTTCCGATTGGTAGCCAGCACTTCGTTTGTAAAAACAAACTACTTGAAGTTGGTATCTAGAGCCATGGCTTTTTACCAGAGGGAGGTTCTGCAGATCAGCAAACGTGACGTTCTCAAGAGCATTCAGACTCCCAGTGGTGCCGTTCAGAGGCTGTCTAGAAGAAAGGGGGGTTGGACTGGATGATCTCTAAAGGTCCCTTCCAACCCAAACTATTCTGTGATTCTGTGAAAGGTGGCTCTCTGAGTGTGGGCCACAACCAGTTGCCTCGACAGTTACACCTTTGCCTGCTCCCTCCAATTCCACAGAGCTTTGCTTCTGTTAGGCATGGTGGGAGGGACAGAGGCAATCAGGCTGATGTGCTCTTTCAAAGAGTAGCGGGTGTCTGTGTGCTATTAACAACTGTATCCTCAGCAAGATTCCTTGATAGCCCTGAAGAGGACACATGCTGGGAGTGTGACTGTGCAGGAGCAGTGCTTAATTGCAGTTGCTCCTGAGCAACATCTTCTGCTCCACAGTTGCAGGCTGCCTTGCTCACATTGTATTCAGAAGTGATTTATCTGGGAGATTCTGGTCCTTTCTTAAATAAAAAAGGAAGTGAGCGTGAGTGGAAGTGTGGTCAGAAGAGGAATCCTCTAGATATGAAAGGCTCCAGTGCAGGCTGGAATTAAAGTTGCCAATGTTGCAGAATGTACTTTTATTCCTGTAAGTGCCCACCCAACTAGGAAAGTGAAAACTGTGTCATCAGAACTGCTGGCTGTATTTGAGCTTGAGATTCTCTAGTACCGCTGACTGTGCAGTAGCCAGACAAGCTACTTTCATGTTTGGGCCCTAGAGCGATAGTCACTTCGGGATCACTGACAATGTCAGGCCCATGCTTATTGCTTCGTGTAGGTATTTCTTACAGCTGGCTGGTATCTGAAAACTTTCCTGTGTTTGCTTAAAAGCAGTGGGGCACTAATTCTCATGGGTTTAAGGGGAACAATGATTCAGTGCGCTATGATCTGCTCTTTGCTGTCTCTGTCCCCAGCGCCATTCTGGGCTGCACTCCTGAGAGCTCCTCTTCCCTTTACTTTAAGCAAAAGAGAATACTTGCTGAATGAGGGGGAAAAAATCTGGGGAAAGGAAGCTGCTAGTGTACAGAACATCCTTCTGTATGCTAGGTGAGGAGGTACGAGAAGAGTAGTGCCTGTGACTTGTGTCGCGTTGGAAATAGCTGGTACTTCTTCCTGTAACGCTTGTTTAGGTGCGGGAGCAGCGTTTTGCCTGTCACTCCTTGCTGCTACTTCAGATTGCAGGAGCCCAGGCACTAGCAGGACTGACCACTGCTTTTCTTGTTCTGGATCAGTCTTTTTTTACTAGAGCCACCTGTGCACTACAGGAAGAAAAGAGATTAATTTAGTAGTAGGGTGTTGCTGTTACTATTGCATTGAGTTTTGTGAAGGGGGATGAAATCATTATATGCTGGGGGGTCATCTGTGGAAGAAAAAGGGATTGGGAAAGAGGAAGGATTTGTCATACTGCTTAAATGCAAAAGCCATCCATAATCCATTAATTTTAACTTTTTTTTGTAGTGCCATAAAGTGGAAGGTTAATAGATTTAAAGAAGAGGAGTATCAAATGAGTGGGGAGCTTTGGAGAACTTGCGATGAGGATAGGAGAGACACCTACAGTTCTTAAACTTGCCACTGGTGTTCCCAGAGACTGGAATGTTCCAGCTGCTTTCTGGAGTTGTGGTCAGATGACGACATTCCTTGTGAGAGGTCCAAGTTGTTTTCTGTGTACTCTTCCACAGGATCCACATGCAACACTTGCATCTGTACACATCTGTCTTGTCTAACAAGCGGACCTGCGAAGGGAGCATGTTGTGAGATGACTGTGACAGGTCAAAGGTACTCAGCGCAAAGGAGAACAGTGTGTTTAGACAGGGTGTTCAGTAGTGCGTTTAGTGTGCTGCTGGTTGCTTGTGTTAAGCAATGTTGGCAGAAGTTTCTTCTAATTCTTATTAGGAGTGTAAGAACCAGTCACAGGTGGAAAGAGGTGATGGGTTTGAACTAAAAATCCATTTGGGCAGCTCTTGGATTGCCCCAGCAGAACTGAGGCCTCAAACTGGAGTGTCTTGTAATGTCTTCTGGTGCCCCTGAGACATGGCCATGTGCTAGCATGTGCCGAGTGAGACTACCAGTAGAGCTTAGGGGGAAGCTCAGTGTTGTGCTAATATATTTCCAAATAGTGCCTCCAGGCACTTGGCTGATGCGTATTGCTTTCCCGTCTTCAACATACCTGACCTCTAGGATTCATTATATACTTAATTGCAGTCTGTCCAGAGTCTCTTTTTGGTTCCAGGCTGAGGTGCCAGGAGACTGGGAGTCCTGCTTGATATTAACTCTGCTATTAAATTATGTGGCCAGCTATGTAAGTATGGGTTCTGCTGCCAAGGTCCATGCCTAGGAGAAGCTGCTGGGATGTAGAGAAAGGTTGCTGTCTGCTGAAGGGGGTGCCAAGGGACTGTAGAGCACTTGCAGAACAGAATTTCCAGCTGCTTAGCCTCAGAGTCGTCCGTAATCTTCTACTTGATCAGAGGTGTCTTGTCTCCCTTGCCCAGTCTGGTTTTCAATTAGAAATGTTCCTTATGTAAATTTATTTTAAAAAGGTGGCTGGAGGCAGGGCCAGCTTCTCAGTCTTGTCCATGTTTTGCCATGATTCTGACCTAGCTGTCTCTATCGATGTTAAGTGCTTGCTGTTTCATCAACTCATTGACTTCTATCTTGTTTTACTTCCCGCTTACGGGCTGCTCTGTTACCAACAGTCTTTCATAGGATATTTGCTAATGGTGAGCAAACTTCTCCGCTCCTGTGATGTGACTACCACTATATATGTAATGTACATGATTTTATTTGTGTGTGTATATATATATATATAAAAATATATATGTGTGTGTGTATATCTATATTTGTAACACACACAAACATACACACTCTAATTTATTTATACAGTGTTCCCTTGCTATAAGGCTGGTACGTAAAACTGTTCGGCTTGGGTTCGTTCTACTTTGAGACCTTGTGTTCTGTGCTGGGATGCAAACTGTTCCTCGTGCTCTCAGCCAAAGCCTTACAGAGAGGGAGCACTGCCCTTTGTGAAGTCTCCTGGTTGTTAGTTCTCTTCCTCTCCTTGCTCTTAGAGTGTGCTAGTCCATGGACCCTAGTGCATGCCGGCTCCTGCATGTCAAGCCAAGCGGATGCATTGTTCCGAGCTCTTCCCAGCTGAACTTTCCATGCACATCAGGCTCTTCCCTGCTACTGCTCTGCTAGACTTGGCTGGGCACCAGACCTGGACTAGCCTTTGCTTTGTGCTTGGCTATCCAGTTGCTTGCTTGTAGTTTTAAGTCCTTAGTTTTGTTTTTAAGATTAATGTTTCAGTGAATGTGTCTGGCTCCTGATGGCCAGAGAGACATCCTGTCCAAATGATTCCCTGACTGCGAAGTAAGGTTTACTATTTATGTTTCCCCAGACAAAGCTCTGTTTTTGGGGAGACTTGTGCATATGAGGAGGGAGTTGGGCTGGTGGGGACTAGAGAAGGATTTGAGTGCTGCAATTTGTAACCCTATCAAATAGGATGCCACATCTACATTTAAATTTTTTTTTTTTTCCCATCAGGGTTGTTCGTGATAGTTAGAGTTTGTTCCTAGTGAGTTGGGAGCCTACCAACTGTCAGCTGGAAGTGGTGGAAAGGGAAGGGCCTGTCCAAGCGGGCTCTGTGCCTTCTTAGTGTTTGCAGGAGGAGGATGTGGCGTGCTGTTCTGCATCGCCAGCAGAGTAGAGGCTCTCAAAAAGCTAAATGTGGGATCTTGCATAGCTGAGGGGGAAGTTGATGTCAGGGCTTGCAGCATTAGGAGGGCAGATTTCCTTGGGGATGGCTTGTTTACCGGCGTGCTGCAGGCTGGGCGTCGGGCTGCGGCAGTCGTGCTGCAGGCTGCCGTCGTGGGCTGGAAGAGGTGGCACACCAGCGGCAGACTGGTCCAGGAACAATCCCGCAGAGTGGCAACGTGACCGAACCTGTGCTTCAGTGCGGGTTCGGTCACGCTGATGGCAACAAGGCTTAAGACGAGCAAGCCGTTTCTCAGTGATCGTCACCGCTGCGAGCAGAACAAAAGGCCCTCCTTCTAGCAAGCAAGAAGAGGGCCTCAGCCGGTGGTCTTCAGGCTTAAGAAGATGCTGTGGCGTCTCACTTGTGGTGAAACAGCATCAGATGGCCTCGAAATACTGAGCTTGGCTGGCTTCTCGAACTTGTTTTAACAGTACTGTCGTATCACTGTACTGTTCATATGAGAGCTGGAAATTGTTTAATCCTTAGATCTTGAACAGTCATTTGGGTTTGAAAAGACTAAACGTAGGCTATAAGGCTTCTGTTTCGCTTGAGCATTGAGGTAATAAGGTTGTGAGTGACAGGCTTTCATAACTAATCTTATTTTAGTCATTACTTCACTCTCTTGGATTTTGTTACCTGATGTTTAAAGACTTGTCATGCTGTTTTTCACATCCTTAACAGACACCTGAGACACTTAGTACATGATGTAGAAATAAAATAGGGGTACTAGGTTATCTTGGATCTGTCTCTTTTTTTTTTTTTTTTTTTAAAAAAAACTAAGGCAAGTGTGGTTTAGAGAAAAAATAATGGATAGTGGAAATCAGCAGACATAGAAAAATCTATCATAAAAATGGAAAACTTTTTCACCCACGTTGGCATTCATGTAGGAAGATTTAACATGAATGTATGTAGTTTAGCTTCTAGCTGTACAGTTTTATGTGTAGAGTCAAGCGCATCCTCTACCAAGCCAAACATTTTCAGTTGCTTAGAAACTAAGGCAAACTTTCACAAGCAGAGGAAAAGTTTGTCTCTGACTACAGGTGCTGCTGGGAATGAGATCTGGCAGTTGAATAATTTTGAATGGAACTTTTTTGCCCAGAATACTTGAGAAAGTCCAAAGTGGTATGCAGGTTACTTTTTTTTTTTTAAGGCTTTGTCTCACCTTGGTCTGTGGTGTCTTTGAGACTCCCAGTGGTGTAAAAGCCTGTCAGAAAGTGAAGATTCTTCACATTTGGATTGCTCTCAAGAATATCTGTTGAACAAACTGAGTGGAATAGCATGAGGTTAATTTCTAATTGTAATAAATTGACAGGCATCTCATGATCTAGCTGCTGTTATGATTACTAGAGTGGCAAAAATGATTACCAGAGACTTGCCTTGATTTTGTATATAAGCGCACACCTCAAGGCAGATGGAGCAGTCATAGGTAAGTGACAATCAGTGGGCTTCTAATTGCTGTCATTAGTTTTTGAAATTGCAACTAACACCTGACTGAATGTGTGTGTGTTATTTAGTGTGTGCGTTTGGGGGGAGGGTTTTTTGTTGTTGGTTTTTGGTTTGTTTTTTTGTTTGGGGTTTTGTTTTTTTTTTAAAGCCAGGTTTAGTGGTAAGAATTGGTGTATTTGGCCTTGTTGCAAAGTCACCAAGTGCAATGCATACTTAACAGATTTACCTCCTACTATGCCGTGATGGTAATAAATTCTCATTTTTATTTTGCAGAAGGTTTAAAAGCTGGCTCTTGCTTCATGTGCTTGCCTTCCTTGCTCAGTATACTTTCTTTGTGCTTCTGTGAGTCATGTCATTCATGAAAACACCAGAAAACCAGTCTTCTAGACTGGTTGTAATTTTCAGTTAAATAGGATCTTCTAAAAAGGCTTCAATTTCCCAGTTTAGTGCTCCAGGTTAAAACAACTTGCCTTTTCTGTGCTCAAATTTATTGGTTTTGTGTTGCATTGAAGGCACCCGCTGCTTCAGCTTTGCTGGATTGTGTTTTTTCTCTGCCTTTATGTGTATTTCCAGGTGTGTCAGGGGACGTGTCTTAGAATAATCTAGGTCTTCATTTACCCGTTTTAGTATTAGTATGGCAGTTGTGTATGTCCGTTCCTTTTGGGCTCCTTTGACTGAAGGCATGTAGAACATTAGCATTTTAGAAGGCTCCTTCGTGCCAGTTCTTGAAAGATCGCTTGAATACAAACTTAGCAAGTATTTTACATCTACAGGATGAAATGCTTAGTGTTCTCCCTAATTGTGGAAGAGTTTTTTATTTGGAATTTTATGTGGAAGATTTTCTGTAGAAGCAGAGGCAGTTGATGCAGGAGGAAGGTCACAGGTTCAATCCCTGCTCACTGCAGGGGGGGTTGGGCTAGATGATCTCTCAAGGTCCCTTCCAACCCAAAGCATTCTATGATTCTATGATAATATAGAGATGCTGCCCAGTCACGTGAGGATGGGTTAGGAAAGCCAAGCCCATCTGGGGTTGAATCCACCAAGGGATGTGAAGGGCAGGAAGCAAGGACTCTGCAAGTAAACAGCAATAGGAAAGCTAAGGAGAATGTTGGCCCTCTATTAATGAGGGTGGGGGCCTTGGTGACAAAGGACACAAAAAGGGCCAGGGTGTTCACTGCCTCCTTTGCGTCAGTCTTTACTGCTAAGGCTGGCCTTCAGCAATCCTGGGCCCCTGAGACCTGCGGGAAAGTCTGGAGCAATGAAGACTTACCCTTGGTGGAGGAGGATCGAGTTAGGAAACACTTAAAAAAAGATTGGACATACCTAAGTCCATGGGGCCTGGTTGGGTGCACACATAAGTGCCGAGGGAGCTGGCTCGTGCTATTCTAAGGTCACTGTTGGTTATCTTTGAAAGGTCATGGAGAATGGGAGATGATCCTGAAGACTGAAAGAGAGCAAATGTCATTCCTATCTTCAAGAAGGGCAAGAAGGAAGATGTGGGGAACCACAGGCTGGTCAACCTCACCTCAGTCCCTGGGAAGTTGATGGAGCAACTAATCCTGGAAACTATTTCCAAACACAAGACAGACAAGACTCTGATTAGGAGTAGTCAGTGGATTTATGAAGAGGAAATTGTTCTTAACAAACCTGATAGCCTTCCACAATGAAGTGACTGGCTTGATAGACAGGGGGGATAGCAATGGGTATTGTTTACCTTGACTTCATAGATGAGCGGGCAGAATATGGGTTAAATAAGCAAACATCGCAGTGGATTGAAAACCAGCTGAACATGCAGGCCCAGAGGGTTGTGATCAGCAGCACAAAGTCTAGTTGGAGGCACGTTGCTAGTGGTGTACCCAGGGTAAATACTGGGGGCCAGTACTGTTTAACATCTTCATTAATGATCTGGAGGATGGGACAGTGTGTACCTTCAGCAAGTTCATGGGTGATACAAACTGGGAGGAGTGGTGGTACACCAGATGGGTGTACTGCCATTCACAGGGACCTGGACAGGCTGGAGAATTAAGCAGAGAGGAATCTCTTCGTTCAGCAAGGGGAAATGTGAAGTCCTGCAGCTGTACAGGAATAACCCCATGTGGTAGTACATGCTCAGGGCTAAACTTCTGGAAACCAGCTCTGCAGGTCAGTACCTTGGGTTCCTGGAGGACAGCAAGCTGACCGTGAGCCAGCAGCGTACCCTGACAACAAAGGTGGCCAACAGCATCTTAGGCTGTGTTGGGAAGGGCATTGCTGGCAGATCGAGGGAGGTGATCCTCCTTCTCTCTTCAGCACTGGTGATACAACACCTGGACTGCTGTGTCTAGGTCTGAGCTGCACAGTACAAGAAAGATACGGACTTACTGGAGTGAGTCCTGCACAGGGCCATGAAGACAATTAGGGACTGGAGTATCCATATGAGGAGAGGCTGAGAGCTGAAACTGGCCTGGAGAGGAGAAGGCTCAGGGGGGTCATTTCTATATGTATAAATATCTGATGGGAGAGAATGGAGAGGAGGAGCCG